GCAAGGTGAAGAGTAGCAGCAGGGCACAGTCCCTCTTACACCCACCCCCCCAAGCAGGGGCACCCCTGCCCTGCACCGAGTCTGACTTCTCTCCCACTTTCTACTTGTTGCTCTCATCCAGAGGTCCCCTCCCCTCCTGTTCCCTGGGGACGCTGCCCACCAGGGAGACCCTTCAAACCCCACCCCAAGACCCATGTACAGGGGGAACTTCTGCCCTTCTCTTAGTTCACCCCCCACATTGGATTCAGTGCCTGCAGCCCTTGGAGGCACAGCACTCAGGGCCTCAGAAATGGGGTTCATTTTTGTGCCTCTCTTTACTAGGGGAGGAGCACGTTGTGCTTTTGGGCACCCTGAGTTGGCTTGGGGGTGGTGAGAGAAGCAGCCCAGGGTATTGGGCTTAAGTGAGTCTTCTTTGTGGGGAAGGGGGGGGCGCTCTGGACTGAGCAGCTGGAGTTGAGGGCTGGGAGGGATAGCACCTTGTCTGGTTTGCAGTTCCTCTGCAGGGAAACACAGTGGTGTCAGCTTCTCCCTTGGGTGCATTTGAGGTGGTGGTTCAGAGATGTGCTCACGTGTGTGTGTGTGTGTGTCACACACTCACACACCTGTGGCTTCTTTATTTAGTCACACAAGCAGCAGGATTTATTTATCCCACCTCTTTCTCAAGTCTCTAAAGTGTCTGGGGACTGAAGTGTGAGTGATCTGGGGCCAGAGTGTATCAGTTGCTAATTAATTACTAGCTGTGCAGCTTATAAAAGCCCTTCTTTCACTCCCATGATCCTCATAGCAGCCCCAGCGGGTATGTATCAGTTCCCCGCTTCCCTGTTTTACCCATGAGCCTATTGGCTACAAGGCACAGAGAAGTCAAGTCAGTTGCCCAGGGCCTCACAGGCAGGCGCTGGGAGAGCTGGTTCTGCTCTATGAACCCAGATGCTTGGGTGCAGATCCCAGGCTTCTTTTCTCGTGGCTCTGGAGACTGGTCGGGGTGACGCTGTGGGATGGAGAGTCCAGGTTCTGGGGTCTCTGTGTGGGCGCAGTGATGTCAGGCCGCCCCCTTCACCTCTCCGTGCCCAGTCTGCCCATAGCCGCTCTGCTGGTGCCGGGTGGTCCTTCACACTCACACTCACGCACACCCTCACACTGTGCACAGCGAGCAGGCGGTAGCACAGCTGGGCGATGCAGGGGAGATGCACATGTTGTAGATCATCAGGGCCCTTCTCTGGCAAAGGTTTCCAGAAAGGTAGGGTGGGGTCCAGGTATCCTGTCTGACCCCTGAGGGTGTCTGTCACCCTGTCACAGAGGTGCTGGCACTCTGTGGTCTCTGGGGGCCGGCAGGCAGCTCAGTGGGGCGAGTACGAGGATTGAGCCCTGATTTCATCTTCGGAGAGGGAGAACCATATCCACTTCCTGCTATCACTGACTGGCTGGTGGCCCGCAAGGGTGATAGACACATCATGTGTCAGGAATAGTTCTTATTCTCAAGTTGCTAATGGGGAATTAGTTGGGGGAAAGTTAATGGCTATATAAAGCAAAACCAAGAACTTACTTCTTGAAGTAAATGACCTCTGGGCACCCTTGACCTGGCTGATTGTACCCCATCTGGAGACAGAGTTCTCAAGCCCAGAGCCCCATCTTTGGCCCTCTGGCTCCGGCCTTACAAGCACCTCCCTGTCTGCTCCTTTTCCCTCAGTTCATGGGTCCTGCTTGGGGGCCTTCAAAAGCCCCCCCCCTTTTTTTAAAATAACATAATAGTTTATTTTTACATCATTTTGTGGCTTTTTCCATGTCAGTTGTAATCCCTGTGGGCTCCCCATCACAAAATCACCCATGTGCCATCACCATAGTCCCGTGCATTTCCCTCCCCCCACTGTTTTTGATCCCATTCCCCACTCCCCCCCCACAAAATGTCTGTGGTATATAGCTGTTTATTACTATTATTTTCTCGCCTGTTCTGTTATACTCCTACTATGAGAGAAACCATCCGTTATTTTTTGTCTTCTTTCTGGTTTATTTCACTAAGCATGATCTTTTCCAGCTCCATCCATGTTGCTGCAAAAGACATGTGTTTATTTATTTTTTTGGTTGCTGAGTAATATTCCATTGTATATGTACCACATCTTCTTAATCTAGTCATCCATTTTTGGGCTGTTTCCATGTCTTTCCAATTGTAAATAAAGCAGCAATAAACATGGGGGTGCAGGTATCTTTTTGAATCAGTGTTTTTGTGTGTTTTGGGTAGATACCTAGGAGTGGGATTGCTGGGTTGTAGGGAAGCTCCATGTTTAGCAGTTTGAGGAACCTCCAAACAGTTTTCCATACTGGTTGTATCAGCTTGCATTCCCACCAGCAATGCAGGAGAGTTCCTTTTTCTCTACACCCTCGCCAACAATTGTTGTTGCTAGTTGTTTGAAGATGTGCCGTTCTCACTGGGGTGAGGTGGTACCTCATTGTGGTTTTAATTTGCATCTCCCTTATTACAAGCGATGTTGAATGTTTTTTTTTTTTTTTCGATGTTGAATGTTTTTTCATATGCTTGTTGGCCATCTGCATTTCCTCTTTGGAGAAGTGTCTTTTTAGCTCTTCTGCCCATTTTTTTGATGGGGTTGTTTACTTTATTTTTATTGAGTTTCACCAGATCTGTGTATTTTTGTGATCAATCCTTTATCCCTAGTTTTGTGTGAGAAAATTTTTCCCCAGATATCAGTGGGATGTCTGTGTTTTGTAATGTCTCTTTTGCTGTGCAGAAGCTGTTTAACTTGATGTAGTCCCATCTATTGATCCACTCAAGGGCCCTTTTTTTCCTTAAAGATTTATTTATTTGTGCATACAGAAGTAGGGTACAGGCCAGAGGTGCAAGGGTGGCGAGAGGATTCACCAGAGACAGAGTGGGGAGCAGAACAGGTAGATCGACAACGTACACTGCTGAGGGGTGGAGCGGGTGGGTCAGGAGAGGTCTGCTGTGCCATGTGGGTCACCTCCGGGGCAGGCGGGGATGGAACTCATGCTGAAGTGGCTTTAGCTTCAGCATGAAGCTGCACCACCAGGGAAGGCAAGGGCCCTTTTTTGACACTCTCCCTGGGTGACCCCATTCATTCCTATGACTTTATATTCTTTTCTTTTCTTTTTTAAAGATTTATTTATTTATGCATACAAGAACAGGCGTGTAGGCCAGAGGTGTGGGGGTGAGAGGATTCACCAGAGACAGAGAGGGGAGCAGAACAGGCAGACTGAAGTGCACTGCTGAGGGGAGCAGCGGGCCATGCTGGAGAGGTCTGCCGCGCCATGTGGGTCACCTCTCTGGCCTAGGATCGAACTCATGCTGCTGTGGCTGCGGACGGCTTCCTAGTGCTGCGCTTTAACCTGTTGCGCCACCACAGGAGGCCCGATATGCATTCTTTTCTGAGTGCAACTCCTCTGCCACCTGCCACCTGTTGGCTGTGCCTCCCTCTTGCTTCCCCCCTAGTCTTCCCTCCTTACTGAGGGCACTGCCAGTTCTTCTCTTGCTCTTGATGTGCCCTGCCTCCCACCCAGTGAGTACTGTGTCCCTTCACCGTCTATCTCCCGCGTGCCTGTGTCACTTAGCTCCGTAACTGCCTGCCCCACGGCCTCACTCATTCTTACAGAGCCGAAAGCTTCCCATTGTCCTTAGAATAAGCCCCAGCTGGTCTCCTGGCCCATGGAACTTGCAGTGACCTGGCCTCTGCACCTCTCAGCTTCACCTCCTCCCTCCTTCTCCCCTTGGCCAACTGGGCTCCCCTGGCCTTTTGCTCCAGAGCCACACAGGGCTCTCTGCTGCCCTTGGCCTTCTGCTCTGGACCTGTGCCCTGAGTTCTCCCCTGCTCGCTGATGCCTCATTTCCCATTCCCCATCCTTGGGGCTATGACTTGTTTTCTAGGACTTTCCGGAAGTCTCTATTGAGAACAGACCCCCACCCCCGTTGTGTTCTTCTACCACGCGCCTCAGTGATTAACTATCAGCGCTTACTGCTGGGTGTGTAACTTGCGTCTGCTTCACCTCTGGGTGCCAGGTGAGCAGAGCTGAGCAGCGAGTGATGACAGGAAAGCACACTCAGGTCTGGGCAGGGTTACATGGAGTGGGTCAGAGGGGGTGAGGCTATCTGGTGCAAGAGAGGTGGGGGCATCGGTGAGAGTGGGGACCTCTGAGGAAGGAGCAGGGTTGGGTGAGAGCTGGAGAAGAGGGGAGAGGCAAGGTCATCCTCTGCAGGGTTAGAGGGTGAACTGGAAGAAAGGGGTGGCTCCCCACCCAGAACCAACTGAAATGTGCCACCTTGACATTACCCCATTGTGGTGCCTCCTCCTCGCCCATGTCCCTGCTGTGCGTGTGCACAAACTCTCCACGCACTCACATGCACCCACTTGGAGCAGACCCACGCATACACATTACATGCTTGACCATGCTCACCCCGTCATATGCACACACTCTCAAACCTCACACATATATACACATTACCACTCGCGGGCCCCCCCGCTCCCATGCTTGTACAGCTCACACACATCGTCACTCTCATGTACACAAAGCTTCGAGGGGAGCAGGCAGGCCCTGGCAGGAATTATGGGTGTAAGTGATGGAGGAGATGGTGCAAGAGAAGTGTGGGTAGCCCTGCAGGTGAGAAAGGGCAGGTAAGTGGAGAGAGGAGAGGCCCAGGCAGCCTCTGGACAGAGCCAGCGGCCTTCTGCCCTCTGGGGCGTCCACCGTTCCAGCCGCCAGCCTGGCAGGACCTGGCTGCTCTGGTTCTCTTTCTGCGGCTCAGGGTTGGGTCATTCTGGGTAGCCTTTGCAACTGTCTTTTCCCACCCCTGAACCCTTGGCAATCCGGGGGTGGGCATAGGGTGCAGGGCTGGAGGAACTGGGGCTGCTGGACAGAGCAGGAGCCTGGGAGGAATGTTTGAGGTGGAGACTGGGTTCACCTGTTCAGGGGAGGCCTTCTGCCCTCCGGCCCACATTAGTTCCAGTTACCCCTAACCCATTGTGTCTTCTCCTCAGGATCGTCGCTTGATTTTCTCTGAGACAAGCCCACTCTTCCAGCAAAATAGAGTCCCTCAGGGTGACAGTGGATTTCCTGAAGGTGCCCCTTGGCCTGAAGAAGCCGGCGCTGAAGGAGGTGGCTGTGGGGCCCCCCAAAAGGCCCCAGCCTGTGGCCCTGGAGCGCTACAAGGCTCGGCGTTCAGACGCCATGGACACCGAGTCCCAGTACTCGGGCTACTCCTACAAGTCGGGCCACTCCCGCAGCTCCCGCAAGCACAGGTGGGCTGAATAGGGGGTGACATGGGCGGCCGAGGGGGGGCTCCGGGGCTCTTGTGCGCTGTGGATGTGGGTGAGTGGCTGGTCACCCTGGGCCTGTTCCCTCGCCTCCCGCTCCAGGGACCGCAGGGACCGACACCGCTCTAAGAGCCGAGATGGGAGCCGCGGGGACAAGTCGGTGACGATCCAGGCTCCGGGGGAGCCCCTGCTGGACAACGAGTCCACGCGAGGGGATGAGCGGGTGAGCGCCAGGGGTGTGTGGGCCACACCCAGTTTCCAGACTGTTCCTGGGGAGGGAGGCCGCCTCAGAGAGCGGTGTCCGGCGATGTGGGCTTTTCAGACAGGTCAGGCTGGGAGGGTGTCTCTGTGCCCGGCTTCCTCTGCTTCTTGTCCTGAGGTCGGGCCTATTGCGGTTGACTTCGAGGACTCTCCATTGAGATTCTTTTGGAAGCAGCAGCCTCTCCCTTCTTTGTCTCTAGAGGGGTAGGAAGTCCTGGGTGCATAATGGGAATCTCCTGGCTCCTCAGGGAGCCAGGAATCGGAGTGGCGGGCAGTGGGTGGCCCTCGGGTGTGGGCACCCTGAGTTTCCCTGCGTGGACACTGGTGTGTCTGCTTGTGGAGTAGCATCACCTGATCTTACAAAGATGAGGTGCCCAGGGAAGAGAGGACAAGAAAGGGAGGGGAAGTGATGCTGGGAGGGGATGTGGGGATCTGGAAGGGATCTGATGGGGAGAGAGAAGTTAGAATGCCGGGTTGGGCTGGGCTGGGGGAGACTGGGGCTGCCCTTGTCTCATTCCCCCTATTTCCTTTTCTCGGGAGCAGAGAAGCTGGGATTCCAGCTTCTTTTTCCTCAGAAGAACTCTCGGGGGGGGGGGGGCATTCCTGGATGATGGAGCAGAGCTGTGCTTGAGGGAAGCCTGCTCCTCTTCCCAGTCCTGGTTTCCCTGAGTTCTTCACATGGCCTGAGGTGCAGTCCGTTCCTGTGCTTGGGAAGGAATCCCCAGGTGGTAGATAGGGTGGTTCTGCATCTGGGGTCACACCAGGGAGGGAGAAGACCCTGCTCCTTGAGCAGAAAGTGGTCAGCACGTCAACGTCCTGTCTTCAGCTGAGCTTGACAGAGGAGACTCCTCGCCCTCCTAGTCACTATCCTGCCAGGCTTTCTCCTGAGTCCCCACCCATGACTCAGTTCTGTAGCCTAAACCCCCGAACCCCCACATTTTTAGACTGTCCCAGGAAGGAAGGGTGTAGCCCTGACGGCCACTGGTGGTCTGGGCCCCTTCTGTGGGATGGCTTCCTGCCTCTGCATAAGGACAGTTTGAGGCCCTCACTCAGCAGGGCGCTGGGACCCCTGCACATCTACCCCTTGCCTCCAGGAGTGGAAAGGCAGCTCCTGTGCTGCAGGCGTTCAGACGCCCAGCAGAGTGGCTGGCAGACCAGGGATGCCAAGTCGCTCTGCGTCTAAGCCTCTAAACCGTGTCCCCACCCCATACTCAGCCTCCCCTGGGCTCCCCTGCTGTCCTCAGGTAAGCTGCTTTGTTAGGTCATCCTTTATCAGAACCTGGGAGACTCATGTGCTCAGGGACAGGTGCTTTTTGCTCAGTGTGACTGCAGGAGACCTGCTCACGCCCATCTCTGCACACCCATCACCCTTTTACAGCCCTTTGGGCCCTCAGTTCATGCCATTCCTCTCTGGAGACTCCCCCTTCCAGCAGGGAACACTATGAAAGCTGGGAGGAGTTTAGGACTATGCTGCTAACATTCCCTGGGATGTGTTTAATGCAAATTCTGGCCCAGGGATTGGGGGCTGGGGCCTAAGAGCCTGCGTTTCCAACAGGCTCCTGGAGGCTGTCCAGACTGATTACATTTTGAGTGCCCAGGTCTTAAGTGATCGCTTAGTCTAGTGATCTAGGGAGATTTTTTTTTTTTTACAATATAATAGTTTATTGTTACGTCATTTTGTACACTTTTTTTCATCTCAGTTGTAATCCCCGTGGGTTTCCCATCACCAAATCCCCATGTGCCATCACCACAGTCCAGTGCATTTACCTCCCCCCACCGTTTTTGATCCCACTCCCCATTCCACCCCCACAAAATGTCTCTGGTATATGGTTGTTCATTATTCTTATTTTCTCGCCTAGTCCATTATGCTCCTGCTATGAGTGAAACCATCTGGTATTAATCTTTTTCTTTCTGGCTTATCTCACTAAGCATTATCTTTTCCAGCTCCATCCATGTTGCTGCAAAGGACATGTGTTTCTTTTTTTTGGTTGCTGAGTAATATTCCATTGTATATATGTACCCACATCTTCTTAATCCAGTCATCCATTTTTGGGCATTTGGGCTGTTTCCATGTCTTTCCAATTGTAAATAAAGCAGCAGTAAACATGGGGGTGCAGGTATCTTTTTGAATCAGTGTTTTTGTGTGTTTTGGGTAGATACCTAGGAGTGGGATTGCTGGGTCGTAGGGAAGCTCCATGTTTAGCAGTTTGAGGAACCTCCAAACAGTTTTCTACAGTGGTTGTACTAGTTTGCATTCCCACCAGCAGTGCAGGAGAGTTCCTTTTTCTCCACATCCTCGCCAATATTTGTTGTTGCTAGTTGTTTGAAGACATGCTGTTCTCACTGGGGTGAGGTGGTATCTCATTGTGGCTCTAATTTGCATCTTAGGGAGCTTTTTATAAAAACAGTTGATACCTCTGGGGTATCAACTGGTTTTATTATAAAATGTCTGCTGGGGCTGAGAACCAGTTGTCTGTCCAATTTCATCACACAGAGGCCCTGTTCTAATCCAGGGTCAGCGTGGGTCCCTCAGTCCCTAGAAGCCTGCTCTGCCCAGCAAGTCTGACCTCAGCCCCAACTAAGGCCTGGGCTGCTTGGGGGGCATCTGTCTTGTGTTCTTGAGCGCAAGATAAACTGTGCCTGTGAATTGTTCTCCCCTCCCCTGGGCGGCTTGAAGCTCCTACCTAGCAGAGGCCGGGCTGGGGGCAGGGTCAAGCCAGTAAACCCTCTGATGGCTGCTGTGTTTGCTGAAACCTCTTTTCTCCCCATGCTTTCTGGTCTCCTCCCACCTCCTGTCCCCCCGCCCCCCACACTGACCCTCCGCTGCAGGATGACAACTGGGGGGAGACGACCACCGTAGTAACAGGCACCTCTGAGCACAGCATCTCCCACGATGACCTCACGCGCATCGCCAAGGACATGGAGGACAGCGTGCCGCTGGACTGCTCGCGCCACCTGGGCGTGGCGGCGGGGGCCACGCTGGCGCTGCTGTCCTTCCTCACTCCGCTGGCCTTCCTGCTGCTGCCCCCGCTGCTGTGGCGAGAGGAGCTGGAGCCGTGCGGCACGGCCTGCGAGGGCCTCTTTATCTCCGTGGCCTTCAAGCTCCTCATTCTGCTGCTGGGCAGCTGGGCGCTGTTCTTCCGCCGGCCCAAGGCCGCGTTGCCTCGCGTCTTCGTGCTGCGCGCGCTGCTCATGGTGCTGGTCTTCCTGCTCGTGGTGTCCTACTGGCTCTTCTATGGCGTGCGCATCCTGGACGCGCGGGAGCGCAGCTACCAGGGCGTCGTGCAGTTTGCCGTGTCGCTGGTGGACGCGCTGCTCTTCGTGCACTACCTGGCCGTCGTCCTGCTCGAGCTGCGCCAGCTGCAGCCTCAGTTCACGCTCAAGGTCGTTCGCTCCACGGATGGCGCCAGCCGCTTCTACAATGTGGGCCACCTCAGGTGTGGGCACAGAGGGGCCGATGGAAGGGCAGTGGCAGAGAGGGGCGGTGAGGGGTTGGGGGAGGGGGAAAGAGTAGGAGTGGAGGGGCAGGGCCCCGGGCGGGATGGGACTGTGGGCTGGCTCTGGTGCTGCTGAACTGTGGCAGGAGGGGGGTCCAGGTGCTGCAGGAGGGGTAGGGTTAGGGAGGGAGGGAAGTGGGGGAGGGGCTGGCGTCCTGCAGTGCAGGAGGTGGAGCCCAGGACTTGGGGGGCCTGGTGAAAGCAGCTGGGTACTCAGTTGCTGCTTGATGGGATGCCTGCGGGGTTCCTGAGTACTGTGGGTGGACTTTAGGATTGGTGGTGAGCAGACAGTTGAGGTCAGGGCTCCTAGGGCAGGAAAAGTTGGGGAGGCGAGAGATCTGGGCAGAGGCTTTTCTAGCTCATTCTTGGAGGCACAGCCTCTGCACTTTAGTGAGGGGTCCCTAAAATGGGGTAACCAGAGGAGGGACTTCCAGAGGAGGAGGGAATAAAGAGATTCTTTAGTACCTTCTCCCCCAAAACTGTGGGCAGGAGATCCCAGGCCATCTTGTGTCAGTGGCCCTCCAGGCCCTGTAGGGAGTCGTGGGGGGTGCTAGAGTGGGTGAAACCCTGGCTGGGACCTGGGCCTATGCCCTTTCTCCCCGGGCTTCAGCATGCAGGGAGGGACTGGGGGCAGCGCAGGGAGAGGCTGGGAGCCTGGTAAGTAGACCTGGGCCCTGTGCCAGGCCTCCCGGACACAGCTTGTCCCTGTCCTGTGCCCTTTCCCGCGCTGCCACCTGCCCTGATGTGTCCCTCCCCCAACTCCCCTTGTCTGTTCCTTCCTCCCCGCCCCTCCTGCATCTCCCCCACAGCATCCAGCGCGTGGCAGTGTGGATCCTGGAGAAGTATTACCATGACTTCCCTGTCTACAACCCCGCCCTCCTCAACCTGCCCAAGTCCGTCCTGGCCAAGAAAGTGTCTGGCTTCAAGGTGTATTCCCTCGGAGAGGGTGAGCCGCCCTGCTCCTGCCCCCTCCGGGCTTCTCCCAGCAGGACTCCAAGTTCTTCCCCCTGAGTCACCTCCCCTGGCATTCTCCTTCCCCAGCATGTCCAGCCCCTCTGTCCTGTCATTCTCTGGACTCCACGTGGCTGACCTTAGTTGCTGATTCTCCTTGTTGTCTGCACTCTGGCTTCTTTGCTTCTGCCTATCAGCCCTGATCCTAAGACCTCAGCTCCCTGGTTCCAGGACCTCCTACGCTGGGAGGAACCCCTGCAGGACCCTGCCCTCCAGCGCTGCCTAGTTGCTCCCCCTTGGGGGGCCTCTTCCAGAAGGGGCCAGGCTGGTGGGGAGTGGGCGGGACTGTGGGAGGTGGGCGTGGCCTCCTCTGACAACCAGTCTGCTGGGCTGCTGTGTTCTGCTCTCCTGAATGGCCAGCAAGGCCTGAGTGACCTTCCCCTCTCTCTCCTGCTCCCGTGCAGAGAACAGCACCAACAACTCCACCGGCCAGTCCCGGGCGGTGATTGCAGCCGCCGCCCGGAGGCGGGATAACAGCCACAATGAGTACTACTATGAGGAGGCAGAGCATGAGCGGCGCGTGCGCAAGCGGAGGGCCAGGTGGGTGCCCGGGAGCCACGGGGTGCCTGGGCAGTGGATGCTGCCCAATTGGATGAGCGAGGGAGGGCAAGCCAGGGCTTCTGGAGCTGCTCCACGCATGTGCAGGTGGGTATGTATCACCGTATGCAGGTGGGTATGTGTCACCGTCCACACAGGCTTTAAAACAGCATACTTTGATTCTCAGCCCCTTGGGTCAGTGAGGGTCAGCTGGACTGAAGCCAGGGTGACCCTTGTTTGAGTGTGGCTGGCAGAAGTGGTTCCTTACCTGTTCCCACAGACCATTCAGAACACGGCTGTTTGCCTTTCCCTCCACAGAGGAGCAGGGTCTGACTGCTGTCCCCCTCCCCCACAGAGAAAGCTTTTTTAAAGGGTACATGTCACGAGATCAGTCCCCGGGGTAATCAGTCTTCTTATTTTAAAGTCAGCTGCATCTGTACTTAATTATATCTGCAAAATTCCCCAAAGTTGATTAATTATCAGCTGACAGGAACATGGTGGAGAGGATGGGGTCTTGAATTCTGCCTTGCTCAGTGAGATGGGGACCAGTAGAAGGATGGGGGCCTCCTGTGGATTGATTGATTGATTGATTTCTTTTTTGAAAGATTTATTTATGCATACAGAACTAGGGTACAGGTCAGAGGTGCTGTGGCAGTGAGAGGATTCACCAGAGATAGAGAGGGGAGCAGAATAGGCCGACTGATGAAGTACATTGCTGAGGAGAGCAGCGGGCGGGTCAGGAGAGGTCTGCCATGCCATGTGGGTCAGTTCCAGGGCTGGGGACCGAACTCTCACTGAAGCGGCTGTGGCAGGCTTGCAGTGCTGCGCTTTAACCCATTGTGCCACCAGGGAGGGATGGATTAATTTCTTACTGCTAGATTTTGCAGCCTTAATCTGCAAAGGGTATATTTTTACCTGCAGCATTGAGGTCCTAGCACCAATATGTTGGTAAACTCTCAAATGCTGCCCTCTCCCCTTGTCATGTTACTCTGTGATAAGTTTTGCCTGAAGAGCACCACCTAGACTGTCAGGGTTTCCACAGTGCGGGCAGATCTGGGCCCTGAGACTGCCCTTCCTCCCGTATATCTCCAGAAAGCAGCCTTATCCCATTCTTGATCCTTAAAGTAGACCTGAGGTCACCAGCCTCACGCTGTGACCTTCCAGCAGGTCTGCATTCTTCTCAGAAACGGTCCCTATGGAAGGAGACCAGAGTCCCTGCACACTTAATCTTCTGCCTTGGCTTCAGAACTCCATGCTGCCACCACTCTTTGGGGACCATGGAGGTCCTTCACTGTCACCTGGGCTGTAACTTGGAGGAAACTTTTTTCTTGGTTCCCTTGAGATGGAAATGTCTATCTTTGCAAAAGGAACTTTACTGAGACACTCGGTGAAGCAACAGGACAGGCAGGAAAACTAGCAATGTCCAGGCCCACACAAGCCCTGCCAGAATCACCCCAGGGCAACTTGGCATTTCCCAGGTCCTGGGGGCCAGGTGCTCGGCCACCGCCCTGCTTCCTCAGGCCCTGTTGGGAGTCCAGTGGGCTTTGCTTTGTTACTCAACCTCAAGCACAGGAATCAGGTTCTCACAGCTCTCAGCCCTGAGCACGTGGGCTTCCCAGGACACTTCACAGTTGCTCATTTTAGGTCCTTCTAGGTCATTCTTCTCCCAAGCCTCCTCATTCTACCCCATGTATTAGGCCCACTTCAGTGGGTGCAGTTTCCTTGTGCAGTTTTGGTTGGTTTGTGTGTCTCTGTGTCTTCGGGTAAAGCAGCTACTTTCACTTGCTCCTCCAACTGGGCTGATGGGGTTCACCAGTGTTGTCTGTAGGGTGTGTTTCCATGCCACGGTCCCAGCTTCCCAGCCAGGGTCTGGATTATGGTCATTTTCCTTATTTCTCCTATTTTGATGGAGAAGTTGGTGGACCTCTTAATTCTTTAATTACCAACAGGTGATGACTTCAGGTAAGTCACAGCCCTTCAGGCTTTGGGAATTTGTTCACCTCCTTTGCCCCTTTATTCTAGATTGTTCTTGTCTTTTCCCCCTTGATTTGCAGCAAATTCTTTACTTACCTTTCCCTTAGCCCCCATGTTAGAGAATGGTACCTGTGCCATTGTGTGACTAGATAGCTGCCATCTATAATTTTTCCCCTGATGAAGTGTTACAGTTAAGTGATATTTAAGACATGTTCCTTTCTTGAGCAGCGGGCTCTGCCCACAACACAGTTCCTCATTGTCTTTCTGGCATTAGCACTGGCTTCATTCTCTTTGACTGTGCTCACTGAGTTCCCCAGCTGTTCCCTGTCCCCAAGCACGTAGACTCACACATGCACACACATACACATTGCACACAGCTCCCTCTAGTGAGTGTGTGTTGATTTGGGGCAGCACAGGCCTGATTTGACTTCAAGAGGCGGAGCTGGGGGGAGGTGACCGATGACTTCAGTCCCCAACCCCTGCTGTCTCCAGGCTTGTGGTAGCTGTGGAGGAGGCCTTCACCCACATTAAGCGGCTACAGGAAGAGGAACAGAAGAACCCCAGGGAGGTGATGGACCCCCGGGAGGCAGCTCAGGCCATCTTTGCATCCATGGCGCGCGCCATGCAGAAGTACCTTCGGGCCACCAAGCAGCAGCCTTACCACACCATGGAGAGCATCCTGCAGCACCTCGAGTTCTGCATCACGCATGACATGACACCCAAGGTGGGCCTCCCCCACAGCCGTCCTCTGTCCCCAGCTCTGCCCCTTCTCCATTTCCTCCTCTCACACTACTTCCTCGCATCCCCACCCCACCTGCACATCCTCATCCATCTCCCCCCCACCCATCATCGCTGAGTGGGGCAGGTTCTTAGGTGGTGGGAAGAAGGGGGAGCTTCATGACTCTCTTGGGGCAGGCTAAGACCTGTAAGGGCTTGGGATTTTCCACGCCCAACGTTCTGCCTTTTCCCAGCCCCATCACACGAATGTTCTTTGCTCTGTATGGTCATCCACCCTTCAGCTCCCTTGCTCATTCGAATTACTACCTCAGAGCCGCCGCTGGTGGACAGGTGGCTGAAGGTGCTGCATTAGGATCTCGACACCCCTGGTGGTCTGATGGTGTGGTCAGCTCCGAGGGCACCAACCCTGCCAGCTGCATGGGGAGGAGGGGAGTAATGAGCACTTGCTGCATCCGGACGGCACAGGGAGGAGCAGTCTGAGGGGTCAGGAGAGGCGAGTTCCAGTCCCGCCCACTACAGACCCTTTATAGGCCCTGTTTTGTGCTGAGGAACAGGGATCTGAAGCCGCTGACCCTGGTCCCTGCCTGCTCGGGCCTGCTAAGGGGTGTGCACGGAATGAGCTGGGCAGTTGGTGGTCTGTGGAAGTTGTGCCCCAGGGAAGAGAGACAGCAGGTGGGTATGGGGGTTGCCATGAAGCCCTTCTCTCCCCAGGCCTTCCTGGAGCGGTACCTGGCAGCAGGGCCCACCATCCAGTACCACAAGGAGCGCTGGCTGGCCAAGCAGTGGACACTGGTGAGCGAGGAGCCGGTGACCAATGGGCTCAAGGATGGCATCGTTTTCCTCTTAAAACGCCAGGACTTCAGCCTGGTGGTCAGCACCAAGAAGGTCCCATTCTTCAAACTCTCCGAGGAATTCGTGGATCCCAAGTCGCACAAGTTTGTCATGAGGCTGCAATCAGAGACCTCTGTGTGACCGTGTCGTTCACAGGGGCCTGGGGGGGTGTGTGTGGGGTGGGCTCCTGGGAGCGGTGGAGGGGCCAGTGGAGGGGCCGGACCTCCTTCTACTCTCTTCCTCGTGCTCCTGGTTTGTTTGTTTTTTTTTTACTTGAATTAGATCCCCTCCCCTCACTCCTCCCCTGCCCCATGCCTTGTTTACCCTCCATGAACCTGAGACCTCCCTGCTGTTTGCAGGGAAGTCCCCTTCTCTCTTTCTCTCCGATATCACCCCAGGCCCTGCAGGGACCAGTGCCTCTCCCTCCTTCCCTGGTGACAGTCTCTTCCAAAAGGGCACAGGGCCCTCCGGGAGCCCCTATCCGCCCTAGATTCTCATAGCAGTTCTCCAGCAGCCCTGACACCTCTTTTCTGTGGGTGCAGAATTGACTCTGAGAGCCCAGGTGCCACTCTAGTTGCCTGTGGCTTCTGGGTGGCCGGGGGTCTGTCCTTCTGGCCACTGACCCGCCCTTGGCAAACCCTGAATTCTTGAGGCGAGGGCAGCCTGTGACCTCCCACACAGCTCTGGGCTCAGCGTGCCCCGCCAGGATTGTTCGTTTCCAAGCCTTGGATTCCTTGCCGCCTTCCACCCCCCACCGTCCACACTTTCAGAAAAGGGAGACCCTGCCCTTTACCCCATAACTCCACCGTCCATTTCTGATCTGCATGATCACATGCCACACAGGCACACTGGGGCGGGGACCCTCTGTGACACTTCCTTCGGGCTCTGGGAGGTAGCACCTTTCTTTCAGTGGGTCTTTCCTAGGCTACCCCTGGGGGAAGGGCAGGAGACACCCTGTGACCATCAGTGGCTGACCCGCTGAACCCACCTGCACCCGCCTGCACCCAGGCTCTGGCTTGGAGGGGCAGGTTCCCTTCCCAGGGGAGGATGGTGCGGGGCCTCCTGTGCAGACCTTCTTAGACAAGCGTTTTCTTTCCTTCACAGACCCCTAGTCTGGTTGTCTCTTTTTCACTCCAGAGACCTGTTGCCTAGTCTGTTTCCTGGAGAGGGAGTCAGCTCCTCCCTCAACCCCTGCCTTAAGTCCACATTGCCTCAGGGGTCTCTTTTCCTGGGCCTGCCAGGGTCCCCACTCTTCTCTCCCTGCCCAGTTCTCTGGCTCTGGGCTCCCTCTGTATTGGGTGAGGGACCAGCATTATTGCCTTTTGTGGGTACGTAGCCCCTCACCCCATTTAGTGTCCACAGTCTTTGCACCCAATCAGAATTGTCGAGTGTTTCTGTCTCGTTTTGAGCAAAATTTACTGACCCTCAGCTACATAATTTCAGTGTAAATCTGAGCCTTTAAGTCAGACACCTTAAACTATGTAGTGTTCGCTGAGGGGACTAGAACCATGCACCCTCAGCTGGGACCCCGGGGCTGCAGTGAGACCCAGGCCAGGCCTCTAAATAGCTTACGTACCCAACTTTCTCTGGAAGGCTTACTGGCTCTAGCCGTGAGGCGGGCCCCCAGGATAAGACCCCATCTTGTCTCAGTGTGAGGCTTTGTCTCTGTGCGTGGCTCTGGGAAAGATGTGCCAATGATGGAGTTTCTCCCACTGGCCTTTCTGAAACAGCCCATCTGCCCCCCACCACTCTCCAGTGGGCCTACTGTCTCCTCCATAGGGGCTGGTTGTGGGTTGACTTAGGCAGTTACAGGGTTCAGATTTCAGCCCTAGACTGTATTGTATTTGGGGGTCGACTCGAGTCAATATGTCCTGTCCTTGGGGTCCTGGGAAGGTTTTTTTTTCTCCTGGTTTCAGAGGCCTCCCTTCTGGGTCTCGTTTCTAAATACCTCACTGTCCTGGAAAAGGGCCTGGATGGTGACTGGGGTCATTGCCTTGTGGGCAGGAGTGTGGTCTGATGGCTGCACTCTGGTGGGGAGAGGCCAAGTGGAGGGATCTTAGTTGCTGCCCTGGCTGGGGGGGCTGGGAGTGTTTATTTTAAGAACCTGCCATGTTTTTAATCACTGTGACTTTTTCATTCCTTTTCCCTAAAACAAAAAGAAACTTCCCCCCAACTCTCGAAGCACTAAGGGCTGTGACTGAGAATGGTAGCATTTGGTCCTTTGCGTCAGAACTGTGGTATCTTTGTCTTCGTTGATTATTATTATTATTATTATTATTTTTAACAATGTCAGGATGCGTTGTCAAGTGTGTGGCTGTGTTTGTCTCCTGCTTCCCCCTTGAGGGAAGTGTCTTCATGCTGTGAACTGCTGTGGGGGGTGCTGACTCAGCCCCTCTAAGCGGTTGCCCTGTGACAACCTGTCAAGTGCTGGGTTTTCTGGGTTTTCCTGGGGAGTGTGCCCACATTATCTTGGGGTGCCATGGCTGTTTTTCCTGTGACTGTTGGGGCCCAGCTTGTCCCCACCAGACCTCCCAAACCTCCTTTCATTGCCTCGGACCTCGTCCTCTCCCCACACTTGAGCACACATGCGCCATCCCTCACCTACCTCACCGCCCTGCTGTCCCCAGCCTCCCTTCCTCCTACTCTACCCTGTGCTGTCTCTTATGCTTGTGTGTTTTCCACTGTCTTTTCTTCTCATCTCCTACACTTCAGCCCTTAATTTTTCATTCCAAACACCTCCTTGGTATTCCTGTGGCAAACTCTGATGCAATACCTGTGATGAGACGTTGGGATCCCTGGGACATTCTCACCTGAGACCTCTGTTCTCCAGTTTGTGTTCTCTCCTCTTCCGCTGGGCCTGGATGAGCTCCATGGCCCTCCATGGTATCTGTCAGTCTGTCTGTCTGTCTTCTCTTTTCTCTGCCTTCCTCAGGAGGCAGACTCTGCTGTTGGATCGGTCCTGGTGTGTGATTGTTGCGATTTGTTCTTCTGTGCGCGAAAGGAAGAGGGGTCTTTGACTTCCTTCCAAGTGAGATTGTAAATGTAGAATTTTCCACTGTTGAATCTAGATTTCTTTTCTTTTCTTTTCTTTCTTTTTTTGATTACAGAGCTGAGACATTGTGCATGCATGTAGAAAATTGTAAAATGTAAATTTTTTTTTAATATATAAAAAGCTTGTTTTTACAGTTTGCAGTGGATCTAAACATGATGGCAATTTTAGGGATTTTTTTTTCTTAAACATAGGAACTAAAACTGTACAAATTTTTTTTATATAAAATAAAGACATTTGACTTTTGTGGGGGCATTCTGTTGTTTTTCTTTTTTTTCATAGGAGTGGGAACATTAACTGTCAGGGAACCTGAGTGAGGACTCTTGTAAGGAGGTGGACCAGGAGGGGGCGATGTGAGCTCATCTTTGCCCCAAATTCTTCAGATTAATGAAAAAGAAAATTGACCAAGGAGGAATGTGAGCACCCACCTAGCCATTCCCAGGATGCTTGCCTGGATAAGGAGGAAGGGAAGATGGCTTTCTTAATAGAGCCTTGGAATTTCTGGGAATAGTTGGTGATTTCAGCTCATCACATTTCATTTAGAAAAATTCTTCAAGTGTCTTTCATGCCTATCTTACTCCTGCCATTGCCTATAATCTTTCTGACATTGGATACCAGAACATTCTCTCAGTAGTGGTTTACTTAAGTGAAAATGTTTAGTAGGTGTGTTGATTCTAACAACCACCAGAATCTTCAATGGGAGACCAGGCATCTCTATGACTTTGGACAAGATGCTTAGCCTATGAGCAACCTTCTGAGGTTAAAAACAGACCAGCTGGGCCCTCCCTGGTGGCGCAGCATGTTAAAGCACAGCACATTAAACCACAGCACTAAGAAGCTAGAGCCACTCCCGCATGAGTTCGATTCCTGCCTGCCCCGGAGGTGACCACATGGCGCGGCAGACCTCTCCTGACATGCCTGCTGCTCCCCTCAGCAATGTACTTCGTCAATCTGCCTGTTCTGCTCCCCACTCTGTCTGGTGAAGCCTCTCGCTGCCCCTGAGCTTCTGGCCTGTACCCCAGTTCTGTATGCACAAATAAATACATCTTTAAAAAAAAAAAAAAACAGATAAGCTGACATGAATTTGCCTATGGAGTTTGACCCATTTATTTCCAGTTATTAGATATAGGCCTCCCTTCCCACCTGACTTATTCTTTGAGGCTTTGGTTCTTTGTCTTGGAGGAAGATACCGGAGGTGACAGGTCAATGACTAACTAGACACAAAGAAGTAATACTGGATAGCTTGGTGTGACCACAGACCCCATTCACTGGATTCCAAGGAGCTCTAGAAAGGTCTGTCTAGAAACGAAAGGCATTTGTTTAGGAATCCAGAGGGTGACAATCTACTTGAGGGGAACAGCTTTGTTGTTTTGTTCACCTAAATATTCCGAACATCTACATAGTCCTCACAAATAGTTGGTACACAATGAAAAAATACTGCCTGAAGAGTGGATTTAAAAAAAAGGACATTACAAAAGGGGCATATAAGAAGGAGCATATGATCACTTCTCCCTTTAAAAATGCATTCAGAAACAAAAAAAATTTTAAAATTTGTGGAAACAAATTTTAAAAACATTGCCCATTCTCACAACTCTGCTTTTTGTGCCAAGACTTATAGTTTCACTTGCGCTTTTCAGTTCACTTCAAATCTTTTGACTTATGGTGACCAATTTCTACCCTAGCGTGCTTCTGAAGTTACTCTTGCTCTGAATTGTCAAATAATTCAGTAACTTTTTATTCAGAACTCATGATGTACCCAGACTAGTGCTAAAATGCTTTAATGGTGATTAGCGAGGCTGTGTTCCTGCTTTCACTGAGCCAAGTTTTATGGCCCCTTGAGAGTCTGTGTTTAGCCTCATTGACCTCCTCAGTTAGCACCAGCTCCTTAATAGATTTAAGGCCAGATTTCAGTATTTGATCTGTGGGATCATATTTTCCCTTGTGGTTGCAGAAGTGGTAATCTTAACCGTTTGTCATGTAACAAATGGCATTTGTGACTTAGTTGAAAGAATGGGTTTTCCATAGAAGTTGTGTATATGGAACAGAAGCTATGCTGTCTGTGTGGTGAGTTGGGAGGCTTATGCCTGGGACATCTTGACATTAGTATTTGCTTCAATATGTAAGTCTTTGCTTTTGAAATGCAGCCCAGGGTGTGTACAGAGCTGGGACCTTGGTGAAGAGACATAAGAAAATCTTTAGATTCCAGTTCTTAGCAAATCCTAATGATTGTTATTATTTTTCATTATTGGGTCCACTTAATGACTTCAACAGAACTAATAACTAGTTGCTTAAAATAGCCCTTTGGTTTCCACTTATTTAGTAAGCGATGATGGAGATACTCTTCGTTTTGCTGGAAAGCCTGAGGTGGTAGGAAGCCAGCCTTTGAAAAACTATTATAACATAATTGCAAAGTGGTCATGGAAGATGCTAGTAAAGAATCGTCCGTGTGATAGATTTCAGGGGAATAATCAACTCTGCCTAGCCCAGTTCCTCTGTAGGCTGCAATGGGGTGTGTTTCCCTTGTTTCAGAGTAACATAGACGTGATTATTTTAGGAGCCTCAACAACAAATGTTAGGATATGTGAAAACATGGGAGCAGGGGGTTTAGAAATAGGAAACCTGGGCACAGCCGTGTGTTCTCTCACTTCATCTCGGCAAGTTTTGGGGGGTGGGGGTACACTTCTGTGTGTTACGTAGAAAGATAAATAAAAACTGGAAGAAAAAAAGTATCAAAAACAAAACAAAATCAAGCATGACCTTACTTAGTTCCAGATACAGACGCAGCAATAAAAATGATAGTCCTGGCCCTCCTTGGTGGTGCAGCGGGTTAAAGCACAGCACTAAGAAGCTAAAACCACTTCAGCATGAGCCTGCCCTGGAGGTGACCCACATGGCGTGGCAGACCTCTCCTGACCCACCCGCTGCTCCTCTCAGTAGTGAACTTCATTGATCTGTCTGTTCTGCTCCCCACTCTGTCTCTGGTGAAGCCTCTCACCGCCCCTGCACCTCTGGCCTGTACCTCAGTTCTGTATGCATAAATAAATAAATCTTAAAAAAAAGACAGCCCAGGCACTTGTGAGTTAGAAAAGTAAAAATGTATGTGATTTTCCCTGGGTCTTTTACAACATGCCACTGGCATCTTAGAAAAGTGATTAAGCCAACTTAGAAAATGGAAGGTCTGATGCAATAGCTGTGATAAGAAGTGCCCATTGTCACTGAGACAGACAAAAATTTGCATGCATAGATTTCAGTGTGTCAAGAGATATTTTCACTCAGTTTTAGTTGTTTGTTTTTTCCTTTCAAGTTCCTGTTAACTTTTTTTTATACAAATATGTGATTTGGGGATAGGTTTGACTGAGACTATTGTATAAAGGTATGGCCTTCTGTTATAAGATGAACAAGCTTTAGAAGTCAACGTGCAACAGGGTGATTACTCACCAATACTGAGTGTACACTCGACCTTTACTAAGAGAATAGACCTTCAGCATTCCTAGCACACACATACTATGCTTTGTGAAATGTTGACACATTTGTGTTGAAGTTGTGTTAACTAACTGGAAAATGTTCATTATTTCACTAAGTATGGGTCTGTCAAATCATCAAGTTGTACACACTTTAAATATATAAAATTTAGTTGCAAATTATACCTCAATAGGGTTGAAAAAACCAAAGCAAACACTTGTTGGAGTGCTATTTGTCTATTTATATTCTAACATTGTACCTCTAATCCTAAAGATGAATTCCAGTGAAAAGAGGAAGCAGGGAAAGCTGATTCTGTTCAAGGTTGTGTTAGCAGTTTGGTACTTCTGGTTTGGAGCATCTTGAAGAATTTGACACCATTGCGTTTGGAGATTGAGGTATCTGGGTGTTTTTATTCTATCTGGAAGTAGAGTCTCAAAACAGAGATCCTCAAACTTTATGCATATAATAAGTATGAAAATCACCTGATGAACTTACGAAATGCAATTTACAATTCAACAGGTCTGGGATAAGGTCTTAAATTCAACATTTCTAGCAAGCTCTCAGGTGTCTTTAGAACAGGTTGCCATGAAAAAAAAAAGTCATATGCTGAATGACTTAGGCAATAGAAATTTATTTCTGAAATTTCTGGAGGCTGGGAATCTGAGATCAGGGGCTAGTCGAGCTAGTTCTAGTGAAGGCTCCTTGGCTCACAGATGCCCGCCTTCTTGTGTGCATATGTAGAGAAAAGAGCAAAAGCTCTGGACTCCTTTTGTAAGGGCACTAATCTCCTCATGGGGACCCTACATTCATGAACTTACCTAAACTTATTACCTCCCAAAGGTTCCAATTCCATATCCCACCACGATGACTTGGGGTTTCAATTTAGGAATTTGGGGGCAACACAATTCATTCCATAGCACCAGGTATTGCTGCTGCAGAACTTACTTGAGTAACAAGGCCCTAAAAGAAGCCTTGAGTTCTAGGACAGTATGAGGAACCCAAATATGCTTTATTTAAAACTAACATACTTGATCCAAGAGATCAAAATTGTTAAGAGTATTAATTTCATGTATATAAATAAATGACTTAGTAAAGTCATTCTTGTTCTCTTGGCTATGAAAAATAAAAGATTTTTAGGCTAAATTTCTTGACAATATAATCAATAAAACAAGAAATTTTGAGTAAAGCATTTTTAGTTTAGGATTTTATTTCTCCTTTAATTTTTACTAAGCCAGAGGAAACCCTCCTTTCCAGAATTCCTGGATAGCGATGTTGTGTCTGAAGTGATGTCTAGGAAAGTTTTGGGGTCCCATGTAGGGGTCCAAAATATTAGTATCTTGGACAGCCACCACTGATCCAGACATCCTGTTGTTATCAAGTGATCAAAGGGAAACAATGTTCTAACGTTGGCATCAAGGCAGCTATAATAAGAGAGAGCAATTATAAATAAGATTACTACTCCATTCATTTATAACCTGGTAGACCTAAATTAGGAGCTGGCAGTGGCCACCTGTATGGGCACATTCCCAGTGAAATAGGTCAGATTGACAAATTAGCACCTTGTCCATTAAGTACAGAACTAGACACAGGGACTGAGAAGTCTAAAAGACTTCTGTGCACTGAAATATACTGAGGTACTTCGGTGTTGCATTGGCAACACCACACTGGATGGGATGGATGGGAGTCATGGAGCAGCCTACACA